AGGATTGCAAATTTAAAACAAAGGTTATCATAAATAGTTCATACTGTAACCAAAAAATCTAAAAAATATATGAACACAGTTATTTTTACAGACATTTTAAATTCAAATTTGGACGAAATTACATAAAAAAAAAGGTGGGTAAGTGGATGTCGCTCTGCTGTACAGTAGGTTACAAGTGGGTCGCTGTATAATGGATGCTATTAAATTTGAATTCAATGATACAATATCATTGTATAAGAAGTCTAGGTTTAAGGCAAATTATATACATATCGATGTTATTAAAAAAAAAATTGACCTATAATATATTCCAAATTAATCATATCACATTATCACAATATCCATTAGGTACTTATAACACGTTATACATCAACATCAATAACAAACCCTGATACTATCATAGATATATAATAGTACACTTTAGAAGTTTCAAGTAGGTACCCACGAATAATATTATATAATCAGAACAAAATAACTAGGTTTTTTAATATGTAATTTCGTCCAAATTCAAACATAAAATGACTATAAAAATAAACTGTGATTGTATATTTTTAGATTTTTCGGTAAGAGAATTAATTACTTACGTGGAATATTGTTTTAAATTTTCAATCCTTAGCTATAAAAACTGAACATTTTATAATTTATTAATTACGATGATTAATAATTTTCAAGATTTTGAAAAATTCTGTCAAAATTCGATGTTTAAATGCTTATAAAAAAAAATTGTGCCTATGTATTTTTAATATTTTTCAACTGATATTGTAACAATATATCAGGAGCCTTGTATTAAATTTTTACACTTTTTGGCCCAACAGATAAAACTTTATTGACATTCATAGAAAAAAAAACTAAAAAATTGAAAAATGAAAATATCCGTAAACAGCTCAAAAAGAGTCAAAATATTTTCTAAATTGTGTGGTGTATAGGAAATGCTAATATAAACATTCAGTGAAATTTTCATGTATCTATAGTTATTCGTTTATGAATAACAACAAAATAAGGAAATCGCTACATGAGAAATCGAGTGAACATCCAATGTTGTAAAAATTTGAATTTCAAACGCTCATAAAAATTTAATTTGACTGTCCGGTAGAGATTTTTTTATTGATAAAGGTAGACAAACTTATGAGTAATCTTGTATTACATTTTCAAATCTTAGATTTAAAACGAAGAATTTTTACGAATTCTTAACTCAAAATAATTTGCTAATTATCGTGATTTTTCCATATTTTGTCTATTTTTGAACTTTAAATGCTTATAAAAAAAAACTGTGACTAACGATTTTTAATATTTTACATCTGCCTTTGAAACAATATACTAGGAGCCTTCTATTAAATTTTCAAGTTTTTTTAACCAACAAATAAAATTTAATGGATATTTCTAGAAATAAAACTAAAAAAAATGAAAAATGAAAATGTCCCTAAACAGTTCAAAATAAATCAAAATATTTTGAAAATGTTATCGTGTATAGAAAATGCAAATATAAACAACCAGTGAAAATTTCATGTATCTACGGTCATTTGTTTTAAAGTTACACCAAAAACCAAATTCAATTTTCTAAAAAATCGATTTTGCGTAAAAATTCCCGTTTTTCCTTAATTTTTCTTTTGTTTTTCTTGGCGCTTTTGAAAATTACTAGGAATGTTGAATTTATACCTCCCCAATGCACCAATGATATTCACTTTCCAATCGAACAAGATACTGAAGTCGAAAATCGAAGCATTATTTCGACTACTTATCGTGTACACAGACACAAAAATAAAAAAAATTAAAAAAATATAAAAACACACATCATTGTAAAATCAATACATTCATCGTTCCACTTAGAATCTAAAACCTAGAATAATTATTTTAGTTATTTTGTTGTGATTGAATAATATTATTCGTGGATACTTGAAACTTCTAAAGTGTACTATTATATATCTATGATAGTATCACGGTTTTTATTGATGTATAACGCGTTATAAGTACCTAATGAATATTGTGATATGATTAATTTGGAATTTATTATAGGTAGGGGAGAGTGGGGCAGATTTGAATGCGGGGTACATTTGAATTTGTCTAATATAATTTGTTACAGATTATTTACATTCATAAAAATAATAATCTAAGTTGGTGACAATATTTTGTATACCATATGTGATTATCAAGCATTTTTGAATAATTTTGTGATAAATAAAAATGATAATGTGATTTTCCGGCTTTTTAAAAAAAAAAATAGGTGTTTCCATAAGAACATTTTGGAAACTAAAATTCAAAATAATAAGTTTAGAATTAAATATACCTATTCAAAATATTGTTGCCTAGTAATACATTTAATGTACATACATTATTTATAATTATTAAAATTTATATTATGATTATTATTGATTATTTTGGCATGGGGTAGATTTGAATCTTCATCAATAGGGTAGATAATAGGGTGTAATAAAGGTTCTTCCTTTTTGAAATATCTATCTTATGGATGGAATATACTAGTTAACTGGATTTATGTCACAAGATGTGGATTTATCTATAAGAAAACCCAAAAATACTACATTTTCACAATAAAAAAAAATTGACAAGAAAACATCTAAACATAATTGTAAAAAATTGTTATTATATTATATATTGAGCTATTTTTATTATTAAAATAAAAAAAAAGTTTAATTTAATTTAATATTTAACATTCAAATGTGGCTTTTAAGACACATATTCAAATCTACCCCCTGCACGTTCAAATGTACCCCATGGGTGGGGTACATTTGAATAAAAATATACTTCACTTCATAATTAGAAATTAAATTGGTTATTTAATATATAAGGTTGTTATAAGTCAAATAGTATTCACAACTATCTAGACTACAGATTGTAATTATCAAATATAAAATTTGTCAAAAAATTAAAAATTAAAAAAATAAAATGTAAATTTCATTAAAATCTGCCCCACTCTCCCCTACCTATTATAGGTCAAGTTTTGGTTTAGTACCATAGATATGTATATAATATGTCGTATACCTAGACTGACATACCGTCTCCGCTCAGAATCGTTTTTCTTATACAATGATATTATATCGTTGAATTCAAATTTAATATCATCCATTATACAGTGACCCACTTGTAACCTACTGTACAGCAGAGCGACACCCACTTGCCCACCTTTTTTTTAGTTATGATTAGTATTTCGGTGGGGGGGGGGGGGGGTTATGAGACCGCAAAATATGTGTTTTATAAGTAGAAAACATAAAAAGTACCCGAGGTAGGTATTTGGTCCAGTCCTTATAGCTTATAGTGATAATGCCAGTATGCCACATAGTAAACATTTCTTAAATTATGCTCAGGCGCCCGTTTGACTGGTCCGTCTAAGCTCTAAACAATGAAACAAGTAACAAATAATAAGTAACTCCTTCTAGGAGTGACTATAGACTACAGATGTGGCACTGTGATGTGAGTGTAGATACATTGGACCACAGAACAATGTACATGACGTAACATTGTGACATAGTGTAATAGTAGCATTGTATCATAATATGCCTTAATAATATAATATGACCTTAGATCGTTAGAAACCATTTTGATTTAAGTTCTTTGTTGTTACTTATTAAGCTAATTGATAAATATTTGAATTGTAGTTGTCTATGACAAAATTGTAATTATAAAATTAAAATTTGAAATGGTTTGTATATCTAATAATAATTAATATTATATAAGTACCTACATCAATTGCAATTCGTCAATAAATTATAGGTAATTATTAATTTTTTTTTAATTTTGAAAACCACTAGTATACAACTAATATAACTCAACAATTTCATTACAATATTATAAAGTACAAAATATAATTAATGAACCGTATATTACTCATATAACAAAACCAGTCTCCAAAAAATATATTTATTATAACCGGTGGAGAATCATAAGCATTAATTATTTGATATAAAAACTAATATTTTTTGGTATGATATCAAAATTAACAAATACCAATAGTCAAAATATTTTTAAAATTATTATTTTAATTTTGATAACTTAAATATTATAATTTTCATATACATCATATATTATTTTATATTTTGACAACATTAATATTTTTATGAGTTAGGTAGGTATATAATAATTGTATAGTATTGATTAATAGCTGATAATTTTTTTTATAGTTAATGCATTTTTATAACTATCTATTAACTATTTAATATAACTGTTTACAATATACTAATACTATATAGACGATATTTTGTATATACCTACTTCATATTACATTTTTATCATGTCATTAAACTTTATATTCACCAATTAATTAAGTAGCCCATTATACCTAAGCACTTAATTTTTTAATAACCAACTAACTAAAATTAAATAAAAAAATTAATTTCTCAAAAATTACAATCTATAATAACAAGAGCAAACAATTGTATGGCAACGTTTCATTTAACATTATGCGGAATCGTGTACATCAATAGCTAATTATATTAACTCGATTATCTACAATATAAGGACAGTATTTACATCATAATTATTTATAACAATTTGTTTTTCCTATGTTTTATTGTGGCATCGTGCTTTTAATTATAATTTATAATATACAAGGCTACAAAATATTATGCACATTATTGGTCATTTCTGTTTTTTTGGATCTTTTTCTTGTGACAAAATGATAATAAATGCTAGGTATATCATTATAGATATATACATCATTATTTGATAGATATATAGTATTATTTTACTTTATTTATTCAGATATAGATAGTTAGGTTCCATTTTTAAGGGGTCGGATTTAGGCAATATTCTATAACAATCGTGAGTGCTGTGTAAAACTGTGGAAGTGACTATATAGTGACTGACAGTGGGGTATTTTGAAATTTTTCTGGAGGGAGGGGGGTCCTCAGTTTATACATGATTAATATAAACTGTTATAATATCTTGTAATAGTTAAGTTTGCAGTTTTTGGAGGAAGTTAAATTAAATATATAATCGTATGGTATTATGTAATATTATATATATATTGTATTTTTACATATGAAATATTGTTATAAAATAAATTCAAGTCGTCTCAATTTTTTTGTCAACTCCTCTATCACTTCGTCAACAGTAATTTCAACTTCCCTGTGCATGTTTAATATGGCCAATCCATTTAGTTTTTTCTAAAACAAAATAACCACAAATATTAGTTTTAAAATTAAAATTTCTTAATAATATTTTATTACCTCAGATATTGTATTTCGTACATATTTTTTAATTCGTTTTATTGATGAAAAAATCCGTTCGTTTGAAGCCTTAGATATAGGAAATGTAGAAAAAATTTGAAATAACTTGTTAACTTCTGGTTATATGTCTACATTATACAAATTCAGTGCATCAATTGAATTTTTTGGTTTTATTTCCAAGTTTTTAAGTTTCCTTTGCCACAGCTGGAACTCTTCTATTATTGAATTATTACCATTCAAATCTTTTTCATAAAATTCAGCTAATTTTTTTAATTCTTCTTTTGTAGAATTCTCGTCGAAAAAAGAGTGAAAACTTGACTTTATATCAGTATGATTAAGAAATCTAGATTTTAATTGACTTATAAAGGAGTCCAAGTATGGAATAAAAACCGATATGTGAAAATATTCTTCAGGATTATTAGTTTGTACGTTTATTCTATGTACTTGTCTTTTATTAATTCTCGGAATTGTCATTATCCCATTGAACTTGTCAGCAATTTTTTTGGCAGCTAAAAAAATGTCTTCAAAATTTTTCTGAGCGTGTTTTCGATAATTCCCTAACTCGATCAAAGTATTATGAGCTAAATCCATGGCCAATTTTAAATCAATATTAATTTGTTGAAACTGTTTTGATAGTGGGAGTCCAAATCCAAATCTAAATCTTATATCAAAGATAAAAACCACTAATTTATATATTATTTTACCTATCCATATATGGCTATTGGCTACATAACTATTGCTAATTGCTATACACTCAAATCCATCAATAATCAGTTTTTCTGTGCGATAAATTTTATATTTCAAAGATAGGGGTACTTAATACCTATTCTATTACTTTTATCGCACTTCGTATTAATTCGTAACTTGGAAACCGTCGTCAGAATAACATTACTATAAATGTATAGTTTCTATACTTATTACTTAAAACCATACTGCAGGAACATGTATCTGTCTTAGTTGTTGTAACTAGTTTTAAACAATATTTTATATCATAATTTATTCTCGGGAAAAAATTATATCCGCACGACCGCGCGTGCCTACATAAGTAGGTTCTGCAAAAATATGTAAGAATTTTAATATTTTTTTTTTATTTGAGTGGTTTGGGGGGGTCCAGTACCCCTCGACCCCCCCCCCCCCCCGTAAATACGTAAATACTGATATACATTACTAAATTAAGGGGGCTCCGGTTTCAAGGAGTAATATATAGGCAATTCACATGACTTTAACAGTTTAACATTTGGGCCATGTATATGTGTGAGTCGTAAATGAACATAGTGTGTGTTTCCGAGAACCGCTGTAATGCCGCGCCGGATACAACTCTCACACACGCACAATAATGTCAATACTTCGTGAAAAAGGAAATATTATATTCTTGTTTATATTGCAGTAACCGCCAGGTTCCTACGCAACATTAAAAGTCATCTCAAAAGGTGCTATACGCCCAGTATAGTATACTATAGAGTATAGAGTATAGATAGGTAATAATCAAGTACGTAATAATAGAGAATATAAATTAGTTAATTACTTCTAAAATTCATTCTAATAAATAATAATCACACAACCAAAATATGGGAGGTAAAGTGAAAAAAACCTGAAGGATAACTAAATTTATAACTAGTATGGGCTTAGTGGGAAACAATATTCCAAAATAATCGCAAGAATCGCATAGAATAGGTGGATGCGATATTGCCGTATTATATAACGGATGTTAATATAAAAAATATAATGCGATATTATAATTGCGACATATAAATTAACCATCAATATGTGTTATATTGTAATACTCAGAATAGATTAGGCATTTTGCGAATGCCAGGACAACATCCGTGAGAGCCGAGATACAGTATCACTAGGCCAGGGGAGTGGCTATCGGACTATAAGAGGGACCCCAAAACGGCCTGTATTCAGACGTGTTCACTCAGATCCACTGAAACTACCTTCACCTTACACCGTGTAATTACATTGACATTTGAACTTGGTACAATTTACTGAAGAACATTTTATAAACGAAATTAAATTACAACTGTCTACAATTAATTTAACATACACCTTATCCTCAACAACATCACGGTCTTACTACCTGTATCGTTAGTACAAAGACTACCAGAATATTACAATATAACTATGAAAAGTTCTAAAATTGGTAGTAAATAAAACATACTTCTTGAAGTTCGATTGTAATTTCGAAAAAATTGTTGAATTTATTAGCTAGACTACGCTTTTTAGGAATCACTTTTTTGATTTATAATCAGATGTGCCAAAAATCAATACAGATGTCATGTAATTATTTCATAGGATTTTTGAAAAACAATCTTAATTTTAAAGTCCTTTAAAATTTTAGGAATATTGGACATTCCGAAGTGTGTAATTTAACACCGCTTATTGGTCTAAAACGTAAGAAACATACATAAGCTGCGATCCCCTTAAAATAACATAACTTAAATATTGTTATTCATCGTTTAAAATTTCTAACTCAAAATAATTTGCAAATTTTCGTGATTTCGACGAATTTTATCTTATTTCATATATAATAAGTACCTACCTACCTATAATCGAATACAAACACAAACAAATACCGCCTGTCCAGCCTACAGTTTTTACTGGTCCTATTTATAAAATAATAAAAATTAGTTTGTGAAGTCGTGGAGGCTCTAAGGAATGTTGTGAAATCATGGAGGTAAAAATAATGTTTTCCATTCGACGCAGAACATAAAATATTATAGAAGCGACAATCTCTTGCGGCCAACGTTAATGAGTCTAGAATGTTTGATCCTTGAAATTGTTCGTAACTTCTTATCTTACAGCCAAGCTTACAACATCATTCTTTTTAATAATTGTGCCATAAGAGTATTAAGAATTATAATGATACTATGTCATTTTTTTTAATTTTTAATTTTATTAATGTTTTAGGATAGACCGATCACAGATAGTATATTTTTTTTAAGATATTTATTTAATAATAAAGTAAATAGTTTTTTCAGATATTAATTTATTTGTGTATAGATACTTATTATTTAACATATACAATGAATTATCTACCTTCTACAAGGGTATAAGATAAGCTTGTGCTAAAGCATAAAACATTAATGTTCTATGATTGAAGGTAGAGAATTATAATTTACTTAAATACAAAATATACAAACAATGAAAATGATATGATACAACAACACATTTTAACATACAATAACCAGTTGGATAATAACAGTAATTTTACATTATTTTATTTACAGACCATGTTCTTATACAAAATGACTAACTACATTAGGTGTCAAATAACAAAATATCAAAATATATACAAAACAATATTTATAAATTACATAAAATTTGCAATTTTCCATTTTCAAAAACTCAATTAATCACAATTGAAAATTTTAATAACTTAACATTTACTCTTATTGTTTGTAACATCAGGTATAATATGTTTAAAAGGCTGAGGAATAGCTCATTTTGGTTCCTCATTCAGCTGTTCATTTCAACAGAATTGGATATTTTTGGAGCTGCATTTAATTTTAATCAATTTGTATTAAGTAAATAACAAACAGAATCAAAATTATCAATGAAAGTCTAGATATATCATTAAAACAATATTTTGAATCCAAATATTACTCCTAAATTTTAAACAAACATTTTAATTATTAGAAATAAAATAACATAATAATATAAATATTATATAACATAAAATATTTTACAATAAGACAATAAGTATAACTAGAGACATTTGCATGTTCTCATGCTTGTTGTTCGATTGTTTTTCTCCATAATATGTTTAACACACTGAATTAAAAATGGTTTAAAAAAAAAAAAATTCAATATTGAAGCAAACACAAAAAAAACTGGAATTTTTTATTATTCTAAAAAACGTATTTTGTTTTTAAATTGGTAGTCAGGTTTTCAAAAATCAATTGGTTATCAGTTTTATAAACAAAAAAATATTTATGTTGGTAAAAAAACTTTGATGACACATGCGCCGTAAAAAAAAGTTTTTGCTATTAGTATTTAGGAATAAGGAATACCTCGATTTCCAACCAACAATTTCTAAATTCAAGTGTCTGTGTTAATTCAGTGCCTTATTACACATGTTTTGAAAAAAAAAAAAATGAGCACTGGAGTTTACCTGCAGTTATGACGACTAATGGTTATACTAATTTAAATATAATTACAGGTTTTCATCTTTAGGAAAATGATGAAAAGTTACCTGGTTTTGTCCTTCCTTCTTTTTGCAAATAACACAAACGTGTTTATAATAGCTTTTATATGTATGTATGTATTGTAGTATTATAAAATAATATGGGTACATAATTATTATATATTTATATTATTATTTTATAGTTATTTATTCTAAGGTAGTACCTATGCAGTGGCCTAATTTTTTTTTAAACATTGGCGGGCAGGTCTCGAGTGGTCCGTTTCGGCAATAAAAGCGTTCTTAACATCATGCCTTACCGCCAAGCTTACAACATCAATCAGTCCACCACGAAGCACAGATATAAAATATTTTATATCAGCTGTGGTACAGAGTAAATGATAAAATTACGTCTTTTCAAAACAACTACAAGCACGTGGTTTTCGATAACGAAAATGACGGGTAATAACTGATAAGAGAAAACAGAATAGTGAAAACACGACTCGCCACTTTTGTGGAGCGAATTTTTTTTAACCGTGGTTTTTTTATACATTTGATCAAAATGGCTTGGACTTACGATGCGATAATTGGGTTCAGCAATGGGATGTTAAAAGGTAATATTGAAAGTTATTTGTTATGCTAAGAAATTTGTGTAATGCCGATTTTGATCGTGACCAACAAGTGTACCGGTAATTTAAAATAATTTCTTAATTTCTAAACTCATATGAGTGCGAGGAAATAAGTAATTTGTCGTTTAGGATTGTATACATTATTTAATTAAATTAATGCATTGATACTAAATAGTTAATAAATAAAACTAACCTGATCTGTTATAGATCATACAAGCGACAAGTATAAACCATACCTTTAGGATGTGATAGTATTTAAATATTCATTGTTCAGTCAAAGAAATTGACACGGCATAATTTATTTAAAATGTAATCATAATTAAAACTTTTTATGATAAAATAATATCACAGGCAGCACAAAAGATCAACAGTAACGTCAGTAACTAACTATATTAATGAATTAGTGGATTATCTCGATAAGTGTCTTATAGATAAATATCATGACTGTCATACTGACATTTAATAAATATTATATACCTATACAAATAATGTTAGTGTTAGGGATGTACGATTGCACCATCAACGTATCAGTGGGCAGTGGCGTCATTTCAATAATTAGTAGCATGGGGTAAAAGTATTGACGAGCTCATATAACTGAACAAAAAATTACTCTCGTCGATCGTAAATTAATTTCCATTTCCATTTTTATCTCAATACAATTCCCATCTTATTAAGCTAGGTATAAAAATAATATACAGTATTGTCAATAGTGTCGTTTAAGATTTTTATTTGTGTCGAACAACTCAAATTACAATACTAAATCTGACTGCCGTAACTGAAAAATCTATAAATATTAAATACTAATAGAGATTTTTAGAAATTACTGACAACGTCTTCCC